AAATAAATTTAAAAAAATTTTTTTTAAAAAAAGATAGCAAATAGGGGACTTAGTACTAGAGAACAAGTACAGATAGCAAGTCGGCGCTCCTGCCTCTTATCACAGTCCCTCTGGCCAGGAGGCATGGACAGAGTTGGCAGAGCTGACCTCCCATCCCTGTAGTCCAAAGACAGAGGGAGGGGACTTAGTGTCAAAGCCACGTCCCTACCTGGGCGAAGGACAGCAACCCAGGACTCCCCCACTCCCCTACCGTTCAGAGGTACCCCTTCCTCTTCACGGTCTCTGTCGAGTGACCCCCCCCAGGCAGGTCCTTACGGGCCTAAGCTAAGAGCCGTAAGCGATGGCTTCACTGAGATCTAGTGTTACCCAGAGGGGTCTGGATGGTCCCCCGGACCTACATACCCTTTACTACCTCCCACTTGCTGGTCACCCGCTGCCCACGATCAGGGAGCAAAGATGTGCGCCCTCTGGCGGATGGGGGCGGGGTCACAGCCTGCGGGCGCCTTTGCTCCCCTCGGGCGGTGAGTTTTCCTTCTTGGGAGGCTTCTCTGCCCAGGTCTTCGTAGCTTCCCCAGAGTTCTCAGCTGAAAGAGCACAAATGCTGAGGACTCTGCACTGAGGACTCTGAATAGCTCTTTGGTTGATAATTTCCATCAGCCAAATAGTAGTAGTAATTTACGCCTAACTTGTTGAGAAACTTTGAAAATGCCTCCACGAGTGAGCTGGCATTTTTATGACTCCCCTTAGCCCCTTTCTGATTACTCGGGATAGCGTCAACCCCCATCTGACCAGAAGTTAGAAAGAGGTCAAATTCCTGAAGAATTTCCTTGCTCTCTTCTAATCCCGTGATTCTCCTTTATGCTTCAAATTTTCACTAACCTCAAATTTCTGTAGTGGGGCGTGGTGGTAGGAAAGGCTGGCTTCTGAGAATACGCTCCTGACCACAACCCTATTTTGTTTCAGAAGTGATGTCCCAGCTGGGTTTTGATGGATAAGTAGAAATTCTTCAGAGAAACATTCAAGTATAAATGCATTTTAGAACAGGATTTTTTAAAAAAAAATAGAAAAAGAAAGAAAATGTATCCAGACAGGAAAAGAAGCAAAATTATCTCTTTTTCACAAATGACCTGATCTTATATATAGAAAATCCCAACAAGTTTGCAAGAAAACATCTAAAGCTAATAGAGGGCTTTTTCAAAGTTGCAGATCAACAAACAAATCCTCTGGATACACTAATAATGAAACATATTACAGTGCAAATTCACTGGTAATGAAAAATCAGAAAGGGAAGTAGGGAAACCATCCTACTTTAAATAGCCTGGGAGGGTGGAGGGACAGCACAGGAGAGGAAGACCCTTGATGAGATGGGCTGACTTAGTGACTGGGGTAATCAGAGTAGGTGTGTCAGAGACAATAA